CCCACCAACAGTGAAGGAGTGTCCCTTTCTCGCCACATCCACGCCAGCATCGGTTGCTTTTGTTCTTTTGAATTTGGGCCAGTCTCTGAGGTGTGAGATGGTATCTCATTGTGGTTTTGATCTGCATCTCCCTGATGATTAATGATGTAGAGCATTTTCTCATGTGCTTTTTTGCCATTCGGATTTCTTCTTTGAGAAAGTTTCTGTTCATTTCATTGCCCCATTTTTGGATGGGGTTGGATGTTTTCTTCTTGTGGAGTTTAACCAGTATTTTGTATATCCTGGATATCAACCCCTTGTCAGATGTGTATTCGGTGAATATCCTTTCCCATTCTGTAGACTGTCTTTGTATTTTGGTCACTGTTTCTTTGGAGGTGCAGAAGCTTCTTAGTTTAAGATAGTCCCATTTATCTATCTCTGTTTTCACTTGCTCGGCCAGTGGCGTGGCATCTTTGAAGATACCATTAGCTTCAATGTCATGGAGGGTTTTGCCAACTTTATCTTCAATGTACCTTATGGTTTCTGGTCTGATGTTGAGGTCTTTAATCCATTTTGATCTTACTTTTGTACATGGTGTTAGGCAGAGTTCTGAGCCTATTTTTTTGCATGTAGCCGTCCAGTGATGCCAACACAATTTATTAAAGAGGCTTTCCTTACTCCACTTCACATTTCTTGCACCTTTATCAAAGATTAGATGAGCATATGATTGAGGAGAGATGTCAGTGTATTCAACCCTGTTCCATTGGTCTGCAGTTCTGCCTTTGTTCCAGTACCATGCTGTTTTAATTATTACTGCTTTGTAGTACAATTTGAAGTTCGGGAGGTTGATTCCTCCCATTTTCTTTTCCCCAAGAATTGCTTTAGCTATTCGTGGGGGCTTATTGTTCCATATAAATTTCAAGAGTGTTTGCTCCATTTCTTTGAAGAATGTCATGGGTATCCTTATAGGGATTGCATTGAATTTATACAATGCTTTCGGTAGTATTGCCATTTTGACAATGTTAAGTCTCCCGACCCATGAGCAGGGGATATCTTTCCATTTCCTCATGTCCTCTTTTATTTCCTGAAGTAGCGTTTTGTAGTTTTCTTTGTACAGGTCCTTTACTTCCTCAGTTAAGCTGATTCCTAGGTACTTGATTTTCTGGGGCACAATTGTGAATGGGATTGTTTTTTTCATGTTCCTTTCTTCTCTCTCACTGTTTGCGTATAGGAAAGCCATGGACTTTTGGGTATTGATTTTATAACCTGCAACTTTACTATACGAGTCTATTGTTTCTAAGAGTTTTTTGGTGGAAGTTATTGGGTTCTCTAAGTAGAGTATCATATCATCTGCGAATAGTGAGAGCTTGATTTCTTCCTTTCCTACCTGAATGCCCTTAATATCTTTTTCCTGCCTAATCGCTATTGCAAGTACTTCCAGTACTATATTGAACAGCAGTGGAGAGAGTGGGCATCCCTGTCTCGTCCCTGATCTTAGAGGGAAGGCTCTCAGTTTTTCCCCATTGAGGATGATGCTTGCTGTAGGCTTGTGGTAGATGGCTTTAATTATGTTGAGGAAGGTCCCCTCTATACCCATTTTGGCTAGGGTTTTCATCATAAAGGGGCCAGCACCATTTTTGAAATAACTTTCTTTCCTTAATGTAATACACCTTGCTCCTTTGTCATAAACTTACTTTCCATAAATTTAAGAGTTTCCTTCCGGACTCACAAATCAATTATATTGGTCTTTGAGTCTTCCTCTACCACACAGATTTGTCACATTGCTATTGTTTTATTGTATAATTTATGCAAGGGAATAAATCTTATTTTTAACAGATTGTTCCTCTCTCTACATATATGTGCATATATATGTATGTATAGCATGCTTTGAGTAAGATGATCATTTGAATCCATGAACATGAAATGTTTTCCATTTCCTAGTGTATCCTATTTCTTTTAATAAAGTGATTTCCAATGTTTGACATATAAATCCTTCATATCCTTTATTAAGTTGATTTTTAGATACTTGATTTTTTGGACATAATTGCAAAAGGGTTGACTTTTTAATTTTTTTTTCTAGTTCGTTGCACAGAGTAATGAAATAGGTTTGTGCATGTTGGTTTTATTTTCAGCTGGTTCCTTTGGTTCATTTCTAAAAGTTTCCTTGGTGGAATCTTTAGGGTTTTCTATGTATATTATCATTTGATCTACAAGTAGTGATATTTTACTTTGTCCCCAATTCAAATGCCCTTACTAATTTTTTTGGGGGGGTCTTGGCTAATTGCTGTGACTAGTACTTCCAATAGTATTCTGGTTAATACTGATGTAAGTGAACATCTTTGTCTTGAGTTTATGTGTGTTAGAGGCTAAGAGTAATGCTCTGTGGGTCACAATCACACAATTGATCAATTGAGCCAGCAATTCATCCCAAGGGCCTGATGATGCGGTGGTGGTGCTCATGCACCTCAGTCCTCCAGTGGTGATGAGGCCTCCAAGGACTTTGTTTGGTGATGTTCAGAGGACCATGCTGTAGTTAAGAATCTGGTCCTACTATTTCCTTGCCTCTGTGATACTAACCCTGTACTATATCTATATCTTTCTGCCTAATCATAAAGGGAAGAATTTTGGTTTATCACCACTGACTATGAGGCTAGCTGTGGATGGTTTATACGTATACATGATTGTTACTCTGTTAATGTTAATTCCTTTTATTTCGATTTTGTGAGAGCTGAATCTTGCCAAAAATTTTCTCTGCATCTATTGACACAATCACATGATTTTTATGTTTCTGTTAACATTTACTGCACCCCTAAAATGAATGAACTTGAGCATAATGTGTTATCATTTTGTTATAATGTTGAATTCAGTTTGTTAAGATATTGGTAAGGTTAGTTGCATCATTATTTATCAGGAATTTTAGTCAGTGATGTTTTATATTTTAGTTATGTCTTTTTCTGCTTTGGATTTGTTGGCCTATATATAAATTTAAATTGTTGAGAAGAATTCCAGTTTCTTTGATTCTCTGGAGGATCTTGAGAAGTATAGGTAATAGGTTCTTTTTAAGGGTTTCTTAGAATTCAGCAGTAAACCTGTCAAGACTTGGGTTTTTTACTGTCGGGAACCTTTATTACTATTTCAATTTCCTAACTAGTAATTAGTCTATTCAGGTGTTCTCATTCCTCCTGATTCAGTCTTGGATTTATGATTCTAAAAAGTTCATCCATCTCTTCCAGGTTCTCCAATCTCATGGCATGGAGTTGTTCATCATAACTTCTTAGAATGTTTTTCTATTCCTGATATATCTCTTAAAATTCTCCACTTTCATTTCTGAAGGGTTCAACTGTATTATTTATTCTTTAGAAAAACTAGCCTTGGACAGATATTTGATATTATTGTCTTAATTTCTATATTATTGATTTCTGCTCTTTAATTTTTACTATTTCTGTTCTGCTGATTCGGGGGTTTTATTTGTGGTTCTTCTCCTAGTTTCTCAAAGATGATGAACTTATATTTTTCACTTCTCCTTACTTATGTTATTTCTTTAAAGGAAAAGCACTGATAACTTCTATTTGATTGCAAAACAAATATTACATGCTTACTGCTAAATTTTGCTACGAAAAACTTAAGTACACACAAAAATAGATATAATATAATAATGAATCTTCACCATATCTAAATTCAGCAATCAACTCATGACTATTCTTACTTCATATCTAACCTTATCTAGTTCATAAACTCATGAATTTGAAACAAATTTGAAGATATCATATTTCATGTCTAAACATTTGTGTTTATAATCCATTTTTACCCAGGGAGATATTTTTTTTTTAAATCACTATTCCAAATAGTGGTAATTTGCTTACTCAGATTTTCTACTTCTTCTTGATCAGTCTTGGGTCATTGAATCATTCTAGGTCTGAGTTCACATTAAAAACCACCTGAAAAATGTTTTAAAATAAAACTATTCCAGAGCAACATCTCCAAGAATTTTATTTCAAGTGCTCTGGGGTTAAGGTCCAATAGTTGCATTTTTCCAGGTTTTACTTTCCCTGGGTCAGTCAGCTGTGTCACTTATAGTCTGAAACTATTATACAATGATGTTTTGAGAGAGCCCAAATTCATATTACTTTTATTAGAGTATGTTGTTAAAATTCTATTTCATTATTATCGTTAATCTCTTGTGGTGTCTGACTCATAAACTTTTAATGATGCAAGGTGGAAAAACCAGTATAGCTTGTACCTTCAATCCAAAGTGTCCGGTATCTTCATGGTTTCTTTTGGTTTGCTTCTGTTTCTTGGTCCACCCAGAAGGACTGGGGGCCATTTCTGGCTCCCTGCTAGGTGTTTTTCATAGTTCTCAGCCCTGGGGCTCCCTCTCCAATCCCCTGCATTTTTGTGAAGCATACCCTCCACGGAGAAACCACTGCTATTCTCGTTTAAAAAAATCAATAAACTAAAATAAAAATACCTCCTAGGACAATTCTGGTGTGTAGTCTGGCTTCAGAGATTTAAAATGCATATGACACTCAGCACATAATAGATGAATAGAATAGATAAATAGTCTGAGCACGTTTCCAAAGTCAGAAGTGCAATCATGTGGTCTTGAACCTCAATGATTCCGTTTTGAATTTTTTAATCAACAAATTTCCACTTCCTCTTGTGGAGCACTGTGCAATTGCTGGAACTTCGTCTTTAGCCAGAAACTGCAAATAATACCTAGGCTTGTGACGTTCAGAGAAGGTGGCCTATCGTGAGTTGTCTGAACCAGCGACTCTCTGCACACACCCATCACACTGCAGCCTTTCAAGGTGCCCAAAGGCCGGGTGATGACTCCTCCTAGGAGCCCGGGGAGTCACGTGACCCTGAACTCGGTCACCGAAGCTGGAGGACTGTGCTTCCTGGTCGCAGCTGGAGGGATCATGCGGGTAATTATCCCCCAGAGGAAATAAAGGCTGACCCGGGCATTGCAGAGGGCACCGGGAAAGAGGATTCCGTCACAGAGGTGTCTGCCCCGGCTGGACGGGACTGGCCAAGGGCACTGGGCAGCGCTGGGTGTCCAGCCGTCGGCGGGCGCTCTCTGCCGAGGCGAGTGGAGGTGCGCCGAGCCCAGGGGTGTCCAGCCCCCAGCCGAGCGCAGTGAGTACAGCAGCTGCCAGGAAACCCGACGGGCCGGAGGAGGAGGAGGAGGCCCTTTAACCCGTTTCCAAAACGTGTTCAGATTCCCAGGGCAGCACGTTACAGCTCTGTGCCCAGGCCAACCGAGAAATCCGCAGGACCCGTCCGGGAGTTCGAGGAAACTGACGCGGAACTAAAACTGAAATCTTAGTTGACAAAGAAGGAACCACGTGGGTCGGAATATTTCCACTGCTGACCCCCAGATGGCATAGAAGTCAGAATAACTACGAGAAATTGGGGGGAGGGGGGGCAGATGTGCAAATTATCAGTAAAGTAGCAGGACTAGAACAAAAATGAAGGAATGTCTTTTTTAATGAAAGTTGGGCAGTTAACATGTAAAAAAAATCCTTATTTAAAAGTAGTTTGATAAGAGGTGTGTTCTAAAAATGTTGGAAATAGGGTGCAAGATAGTATGACAAGAATGCCTTATGCCCCCACCAAAAATGCCCTTGATTTAGGGATAGGCTCTTATGGATAATAATTGTATTGCCATTCCACATTAAAATTTGATATGTTTTCTGATACGTATCTGCGCCGTGCGCAACAAATAAATATTGGCCGTGGGTAATAACTTTTAAATAAATTAACAATATGTTCAGAGTCAAAATAAATTTCATGTGCTTTAAAATAGAATTTCAGATTGTTTTTCCAACAGAGTAGAATCTGAGAGATTTGAAGCTATTAATATTCTTTAGTAGAGCCATCTCTGACATTTTTAAAGGCTAAGTGTACCTTATTAATGTGCTTATAGAAGTTTTGCTTCAGTTTGCTTAAACAGAAATGTATTGATTTCTAGCAACCAACTAATCATATATCATTTTAGTACCCTGACAACCTTGGCAGATAGTTCCAGCACCTGATCACTGCAGAACTGTCTTAGCTGCTTTTCACTTGAGAACTAGGGCAGGACTATTACTTTGTTTAAGATAGGATTACTGTATCAGTGCTGTTTATGTCTTGTCTCCAACTAAATCCCCATTACGGATGTTTTGCTTAAAGCAACTTTTTGTTTGCTTTGTTTTGACTTTTGGGCCACAACCAGCAGTGCTCAGAGACTAGTCCTGGGGTAGAGGTCATGAAGGTGAGGTGCTGACAGTGCTGTGTCAATATCTAACCTAGACCACCTACATTCAGAGCACGTGCCCAGTCCTTGAGCAATCTCTCTGGTCCTCTCTTATTAGCAATACTTTTGGGGTTTTGTTGTTGTTTTCTTATCTTGCTCTTTGTTTCATATTCAAGTGAGCAAGACAGCACACATAATTTCAAATAAATTTATTTTTTACTAAATCTATTGACCAATTTTGAAGTCTTCCCTGTTTTAAAATTAAGTTATCCACAACAAGTCCAACAAACATCTATTATAGGAAACATGGGCTTGTGTATTGATTCTGATTTATGAGCCATAGCCAGCAGCATTCACAGGCTACTCCTGGCTCTGTTCTCAAGAGTCCCTCCTGGCAGTGGACTGGGGATTGTGTGATGGCTGGGAACTAAACCCAGACCTCCTATATGCAAAACAGGATCTCTAGTCTGTCCTCTGCAAAAACACCTACAAACCTGGGAAAGCCGGAGACACTTTTAAAGTGTATGTTATCTTTGTAGAGTAAAATAACAAGGAAAGGTGATTTCAGATTAACTTGGTTCAATACATATCCCAAGAATTGCTATAACATTAAGAATAGCACTGTCCTAGCTCTGTCCTCCTGTTGTTCATTGATTTGCTTGAGCAGGCACTAGTAATGTCTCCATTGTGAGACTTGCTGTTACTGTTTTTGGCATATCGAATATGTCAGGGGTAGCTTGCCAGGCTTTGCCATGTGGGCAGTATACTCTCGGTAGCTTGCTGGGCTCTCCGAGAGGGGCGGAGGAATCGAACCTGGGTCGGCCGTGTGCAAGGCAAACGCCCTACCCGCTGTGCTATTGCTCCAACCCAACATTAAGAATAAGTGGGGAGGATGATGTTTGGTTTACTCAATTCCATTTCATTTGGCTTTGATGAAGTTATCCAGAAGGTCAGTGTGCAAACTATAAATTCAAGTTTAGTTATGGTCGGACAACTTTGGTTCCCTCCTTGGTTCCTCCTTTAATATGAGTGATAAAATAACTCATATTAATTTTTCTCATCTAGTTTGTTGAACTCAAATGGTGATTGTGTTCAATATTCTTTCTTTCCTTTTTTTTTTTTTGTGTGTGTGAGTGTATGTGGTAGGTGGTCAAACCCAATGTTGCACAGGGGTTCTTCCTGTCTCTGCACTCAGGAATTACTCCTGGAAGTGCTCCCGGGTCTGTAAAAGATACCGGGGATTGAACACCTCGCCTACTTAGCATCTTACCTGCTATACTTGTATGCCTCAGCCCCTCCAGTATTCTTTCTCGGTGTTAGTTTTGAAAGAGTTCTGGCTCTTGACTACCACACTTTTGGCCTTTCTCTTCTTATAGGGAAGTGGAACTTTAAACTTTGTGGCATTGTTCAATAGAACTTTCTGCAATGATGATAATACTCTATAATTTGGTAGTATTGATTAGTGATATAGGAAAACCACGTTTCCTATAATAGATATTTGTTAGACTTGTTGTGGATAACTTAACTTGATACTGATATGGTAGCACCTAACTATCTGAAGCACTTAAGCACTTACAATATGGTTGGCAGTACTGAGAGGAAAGCAAGACTTTGGGGCAGAAATGCAAAAAAAAAAAAAATTACAAATGCTCCATTTGTCAATATACTCAGTGGGTTTATTGAAAGGAAAAAAGAAAGGAGAGAGAGAGTGGATAGTTGGAAGGGACTGGCTACCCCAGTGGACATAGAGTGCTAGTTCTATTCCGTCCTTTAGGAAGGGACAAAATATTTTATTTGAAGGATGTGCATTAGATATTCTTTTTGTGGAAAGCTCAATCCTTTTTCACCTCCTTATGGCCAACTCAGAACTATCATAGAGGATTTTAGGGTGGTGTGGCTTAGGAGAGAGTCCTTGGCCTGAAGTTCAGGGGAACTGGAACTATCATTTTCATTACAGGTTACTAATTTTATTATAGATAAGAGAATTGGGCCTATCAGCTCCACAGAAGTCATGGGAACTTGGAAACTTTCTGTCAGCAGTCCTGTGACTTGGCATTTTTGCTGAAGATAAGAGAGAGTTTGGGGCCTCTCTGTGCCAAATGCCTCCTATGTTTTTTTTTTTTTTAAAAAAAAACATTTTCAAAAAAGCCTTGAAAAAGAACTAGCTTTTCTGAAGGACACATTCTCATTCTGTCAGCTAGGTTGAGGGAATGATATTTACCTTTAATGTAAACAAATATTTTAATCAATGGGAAGACTGATTAACTGAGGGCTGAGCACACATTTTGCATGCAAGAGGCCCAAGTTCAATCCTCAGCAGCATGTGGTCCCCCAACAACCTCCGAAAGCAACCCTCAAGAACTACATGGTGTGGCCCTCACCAAAAGAGCTGTCTTAGTTAATCATTCATAGGTGTTGGCTACCAGATTGCAAAGCCTCTGACTCTTCAGAGCTTCACGGTGTTCAGTTCTCTGGAGGATGGCGTTGCCACATTTTGTTGCTGACAAAGCTATTATGTCTATTTAGTACTTTTTGTGTTTTTTTTAAGTTATAAAGATATACCATTATATGAAACATTAAAATTCTTATAGATCTGGGAATACTGCTGTTGAATAAAAGTACCTTTACTGCTAGGGGCTCCTAAATATGAAGTAGCTAATAGATGCTAATGTGTGCCCTTCTTGCCTGAAATATAATTAAAGCTCTTTTTTTTTACTTTTTAAAAATTTTAGCACAGCGGGTAGGGCGTCTGCCTTGCACGCAGCCAACATGGCCGACCCGAGTTCGATTCCTCCGCCCCTCTCGGAGAGCCCAGCAAGCTACCGAGAGTATTCGATATGCCAGACACAGTAACAACAAAGTCTCCAATGGAGACGTTACTGGACCCGCTCGAGCAAATCGATGATCAACGGGAGGGCCTTTACTTACTTACTTTACTATTGAATCGCCTTGAGATAGTTACAAGCTTTCATGTTTGGGTTACAATCACACAATGATCAAACACCCATCCCTCCAGCAGTGCACATTCCCTACCACCAATATCCCCAGTATACCCCCCCCTTCCCACCCTCCCCCTGCCTCCATTGCAGACATGATTCCCCATAATCTCTCTCTACTTTTGGTCATTATGGTTTGCAGTACAGACCCTGAGAGGTTACCATGTTTTATCCTTTATCCACTTTCTGCACACATCTCCCATCCCGACCAATTCCTCCAGCCATCTTTTTCTTAGTGATCCCTTCTCTCTTCTAGCTGCCTTCTCCCCTTTGCTCATGAGGCAGGTTTCCAGCTCTGGAGCAATCTATCTGTCCCATGTATCTACTATCCTTAGGTGTCAGCCTTATGTTATGTTGCTTTATACTCCACAAATGAGTGCAGCCCTTCTATGTCTGCCCCTCTCTTTCTGACTCATTTCACTCTCCATGTCTATCCATTTATAAGCAAAGTTCATGACTTCATCTCTCCTGACAGCTGCATTGTGTAGACGTACCATTGTGTAGATCTACCAAAGTTTCTTTAACCAGTCATCAGTTCTAGGGCACTTGGGTGGTTTCCAGATTTTGGCTATTGTGAACAGTGCTGCAGTGAACATGTAGATACAGATGTCATTTCTACTGTGCTTTTTTGCATCCTTGGGATATATTCCCAGAAGTAGTATTAAGGGGTCATGTGGAAGCTCAATTTCTAGTTTTTGAAGAACTGTCCATGTTGTTTTCCAGAAAGGCCAGACTATTGGGCATTCCCACCAACAGTGAAAGAGTGTCCCTTTTTCCCCACATCCATGCAAGCACTGGTTGCTTTTGTTCTTTTGAATGTGTGCCAGTCTCTGTGGTGTGAGATGATATCTCATTGTTGTTTTGATTTGCATCTCCCTGATGGCTAACGATGTGGAGCATTTTTTCATGTGCCTTTTGGCCATTTGTATTTCTTTTTTGAGGAAAGTTCTGTTCATTCTTTCCCATTCTGAGGGCTCTTTCTGTATTTTGGTCACTGTTTCTTTTGAAGTGCAGAAGCTTCTTAGTTTGATATAGTCCCATTTGTTTATGTTTGCTTCCACTTGCATGGTCAGTGCTGTTTCATCCTTAAAGATGTTTTTAGCTTCAATGTTGTGGAGAGTTCTGCCTACGTGTTCCTCTATGTACCTTATGAATTCATGTCTGATATTGAGGTCTTTAATCCACTTTGAGTTGACTTTTGTGTCTGGCATTAGACAGAGGTTAGAGTTCATTGTTTTGCAGGTAGCTATCCAGTTTTCCCAGCACCACTTGTTGAAGAGGATTTCCATGTTCCACTTCACATTTCTTGCTCCTTTGTCAAAGATTAAGTGGTCAAATATTTGGGGATCTGTGACAGAATATTCGACTCTGTTCCATGGTCTGCAGGTCTGTTTCTAGCCCAGTACCTTGCTGTCTTAAATACTATTGAAAAGCTCTTATTTTTAATACTTCTAAGTCTTTGCACATACTTTCTCATTTGATTGTCACAGCAACCAATGGAAAGTAAGACTCCTAGTCTAGAAATTTCTTCATTTCACCTCACCAGCTACACAGGAAAGTATCTTATAATAAAAATCATATCTTGGGACAAGAGAGAAGAGAATCTGATGGGTAGTCTTGCACACGGCTGACCTGGGTTTGGTCCCCAACTCTCCATATTGTCCCCCAGCCCTACTAAGACTGATTCCTTAGCACTGCCAAGTGTAGCTTCCAAAACAACACAAAAAATAACAGAAAACCACATCTGCAGCGAGTGTGGCCCAGAAAAACAAAACAAAATTATGTCTGAAACTTTGGGAAGTTTAGTTCTCAAATTGTGGAGAGAAATTCTGAAATTTTCAAATAACAGGCTGGTATCAAGAATAATATTAAAATATTAGTAGGTAAAAATGGGCTGGAGCAATAGCACAGTGAGTAGGGCATTGCCTTGCACACTGCCAACCCGGGTTCTATTACTCCGCCCCCTCGGAGAGTCCAGCAAGCTACTGAGAGTATCTCGCGCACATGGCAAAGCCTGGCAAACTACCCGTGAGGTATTCGATATGCCAAACACAGTAACAACAGGTCTCACAATGGAGATGTTACTGGTGCTCGAGCAAATCGATGAACAATGGAAGGACAGTGCTGCAATGCTACAGTAGATAAAAATAAAGGGAAAAATTAATGAATGTGGAGTATAAACATAATACATAGTGTTACAATGGCTCTATTGTCTAAAAAAAAGCCATTCTCAATAACAGTATATATTAGGTAATAATCTCAGTGTTAACATAGGTTCATAACATTTTGATTCTTTTCTCTCTTTTATTCCCAGAAACTCTGAAAAGTACATCAAGTCTAAAGTGACCAAGGTCCCCTCCTGGTCGAACTGGAATCATGAGCAACAGTGGGATGGGCCTCGCCACTGGTTTCATCTCTTCTTCTGTAGCTGTCATTTTGTTTGGTTCAAATTTTGTACCACTAAAAAAATATGATACTGGTGATGGTAATTATTTTTTTCTTCACTTATATCTTAAATTATCTTTTAAATATGATGTTGTCTTCTAAGTATTTTAAAGTAACGGCTACAAAAATAAGTTTTGCTGAACCAACACCAAATGAATACAGCTTAAAATTGATTACTTGATATTGCCTATGCCAATTGACGTGGGAGTTGATTAGTTTTAGTTAACCTTAAAATTGCATGTTTTGTTACTGTTTTGGATGTTTTAATGGCATTTGACCCGCTAGTGCTCAGCGTCTGTTCCTGGCTCTGTGCTCAGATATGACTCCTGGTGGTGTGGGGGGGACCATGTGCAGTACTGGGGGCTGAACTGGGCTTGACCTCATAACCTTAATCCCGGTACAGTTCTCCAGCACCTAAAGGTTGTATTTTATGGCAGAACTACTAAAAAAAAAATCTTTCTAGACATACCTTTTCTGTCCTACTAATAATATTCTTTGAGAGGATAAATTTCCATTATGATTGATAAAACGAAGAAAAATTGAAGCATGGAGCAATTTTGTGTTTGCTTAATGGATATTGTTGACTCCAACAAAACTAGGCAAGCACAAAAGCCATGAGATGAATGAAGAAGCGTAACCAAACAAAATGCTGCCCAAGCACCTCAGCATCTCTCGGCTCTCTCAGTTCACTCAGAGAGCTCAGCACCCATTGGCATCAGTGTTAGAACCTTCCATCCACTCACTTCACAAAAGCTCACAAACTGACACCCTTCTACACTTCCTGCTATAAAGAAAACTTCTGTTCTAGTTAAGTATCATATTTAATACGGAATTTGTAAATGCCATAACTTAAATTTAACCAACATAAAACTTCATCGTTGAGGAAATAAAGAGATAGTACAGCAGGTAGGGTGCTTGTCTCGCACACAAATGATCAGGGTTAGCACATTATCAGGTCCCGTCCCCTGAGCCCTCCACCTCCAAGAGTGAGAACAGAAGCAGGAGTAAGACCTGAACACCACTACCGGGTGTGGTGTAAAAAGTTTTTTTAAGGAGCGGGGTGATAGTACATGGGTAGGGTGTTTGCCTTGTGCGTGGCCAACCTGAGTATAATTCCCGTTATCCCATATGGTCCCCCCCAAGCACCGCCAGGAACAATTCCCTAGTGCAGAGCCAGGAGCAACACCTGAACATCACCAGGTGAGACCCAAAAAGCAAAAAAAAAAAAAAAAGAAAAAAAAAGTTTTTGAAAAAGAAAAAAAATCCCGCTTTAAAAAATAAAGGTAAAGGTAAAGGCCCTCCCGTTGATCGTCGATTCGCTCGAGCGGACCCAGTAACGTCTCCACTGGAGACTTTGTTGTTACTGTGTCTGGCATACCGAATACTCTCGGCAGCTTGCCGGGCTCTCCGAGAGGGGCAGAGGAATCGAACTCGGGTCGACCATGTTGGCCGCTTGTAAGGCGAACGCCCTACCGCTGTGCTATCGCTCCAGCCCCCAAAAATGATAATAGTGTTGAGGTATTTGAGTGTTGTGATTTTAACCCATTTCCCCCAAAACTCTATTATTTTAATAGCATGAATTCAATAAGATATTAATTTTAAAATTTACTCTCATCATAGAAGAACTCTCAATGATATGAGTTTTATTTTATTTTATTGCTTTTTGGGTCATACCCGGAGATGCTCAGGGGTTACTCCTGGCTCATGCACTCAGGAATCACTCCTGGCCGTGCTTGGGGGACCATATGGGATGCTGGGAATCAAACCTGTGTCGGCCATGTTGACTGCATGCAAGGCAAACGCCCTACCCACTGTGCTATTGCTCCAGCCCCATGATGTGAATTTTAGAAGAGACAAAACAGTCGTTTCTTTTACCTCTTTGCTTTTACATTAAAACCAGAAGAATTGGGAGCTAGTATGAATATATATTAGGAGCAATTGCAAAACTTCCCCAATCCTATATTCTTAATATTACTTAGATATTAGAATTTTAAATATTTATCTTATGGAACCTTTTTATATTCCTTTGGTATGAAGATAAAAATAGGAAACAGAGGGGAAAAAGGACTGGAGCAATAGCACAGCGGGTAGGGTGTTTGCCTTGCAAGCGGCCAACATGGCCAACCCGAGTTCGATTCCTCTGCCCCTCTCGGAGAGCCCGGCAAGCTACCGAGAGTGTCTCGCCCGCACAGCAAAGCCTGGCAAGCTACCTGTGTCATATTTGATATGCCAAACACAGTAACAACAAGTCTCACAATGGAGATGTTACTGAGCCAATTCGAGAAAATCGATGAACAATGGGAGGACGGTGACAGTGACAGGGGAAAAAAGGCAAAAGATATAGAAAGGAGAAAGAACCTGGCATTTAGGTATTATACAATAATTGTGATCCTGGGTAAATCTTACAGGACCTCATTTATAAAATTAAGTTCTTTTTCATCTCTCTGATCTTACTTTTTTGTCTTAGAGTTAATAATTACTTCTTTTTTTTCTCCATTATAAAATTGAATAGCACCATAGAAACACTGTTCTCCCATTATTCATCGATTTGCTCAAGCGGGCCCAGTAACGTCTCCATTGTGACACTTGTTACTGTGTTTGGCATATTGAATACGTCACGGGGAGCTGGCCAGGCTTTGCTGTGCAGGCGAGATACTCTCGGTAGCTTGCCGGGCTCTGCAAGAGGGATGGAGAAATCGAATCCGGTCAGAAGCATGTAAGACAAATGTTCTACCTGCTGTGCTAGAAGCAGATAAAAGTCTTCCAAAGTTACATGTCAGAACTGCAGCATTGAGTTATAACTTGCCTTAGAATTCCTTCCAATGATGGCCTTTTGGGCTGGAGCGATAGCACAGCGGGTAGGATGTTGACCTTGCATGCAGCCAACCTGGCCGACTGGAGTTCGATTCATCTGCCCCTTTCGGAGAGCCGGGCAATGGTTCGGGGCTGTATTTGGGCAACAGGTGATGTATGATATAATTTACTTATTACTCAGTTGAAGGATTAATAATAATATGCCAAACACAGTAACAAGTTTCACAGTGGGGATGTTACTGGGCCCACTTGAGCAAATCGATGAACAATGGGAGGACAGTGAAAGTGACAGTGACAGTGATGGCCTTTTAAAAATTATCCTTTTAAACTCTAAATGCTGGATACAGTGTAAGAAATGTACATATATACCATATGTCACTATGTAATCTTCAGATAACTTGTAAATGACAGCCCAGTGTACTTATAGGTAAGTATCCCTGACCTACGTTAATTTTCTGATTTGTAAAATCTGATATCACAAGCATGTAGCTTTAACTATGTAAGTTGGCATGCAACCATAAAAGACTGACAGCTGATATGGCACAAAGTATCCTTAAATGTTTTAAATCACTCTTGTTCTGTTAGCCTGATCCTAATGACTTATTTTTATTAAGTAATGACACTAAAAATGTGGAATCTGAATAAAAATAACGAATTTTTGTCTTGTGAACATTTTGGGTAGAAATTTCTTGATTTGTATAATAGATAAAAACAATTATTTAAAAAAAAATTAAACAGAATGTGCCAAGCATAAAGCTCAGTAGAAGAGCACTTTCTTCCATGTATGAAATCCTGTGTTCGTTCTTTAGCATGCACATGCATGCACATGCAACAACACACACACACACACAAATATTAAAAAGTAGAAATACACAGTGAATATATGACTTTGAAATTAAGCATCCCAGATTTGAAGTATAATCATACAAATGATTAGCTGACAGGTTACTTCATCTTAGACTCAGTTTATCATTGAACTGGGCTTGATTATGATGCAGAGTGATTGTAAGAATTATATGTCAAGCAGACATTCAATATTCTGACCTTTTCTGTAATAATCTCATTGGTATTTCTAGCATTGATTTACTTAAAAATCTATTGAAACCACTGACACAGTTTCTTTTGTTCCAGGAATGTTTCTCCAGTGGGTACTATGTGCCGCCATATGGCTAGTTGCCTGTGTGGTCAATCTGATACTACGTTGTCCTAAGTTTTGGCCTTTTGCAATGGTTGGGGGCTGTATTTGGGCAACAGGTGATGTATGATATAATTTACTTATTACTCGGTTGAAGGATTAAACTTTCACTTCAGAAGTGGAAGAAATTACGAATAGTAATTTTGAATAAATTTGAATAATTACACTTAGATGCTAGAAGTGAATGATTTCCTGCTTTGCATTCAGATGCTCCATAAATATTGTTGGTGTATTTTCTTTTTCTTTCCTCTTGTTTTTTTTTCTAAGTTCCTCAAAGAAAATTAGTATGGCAAATTGCTCTCTGCTTGGACAAGCATAACTCATTGTTTATTTTAAGTACCTTGTCATTTCTCTAGCATGCTTATCAACAAATAATTATCAAAGAGTAGTCTGTAATAATAACATTTCCAGAGCTAGTTCTTAAAAGTAAGAGATCACAAGGACCAAGAAAGAGCTCAGTGGATTGGAGCACATGCTTTGCATGCCGAAGAGTGTGTTCTATTCCTAATACACATTGTACTCTGAGCACGCAAGCTCTGTCCTTCCTCCTCCTAACTAAGCAAACAGACTCATTATCATTTACAAATTACTGGAAGAAAAAGGAAAGAAAGCAAAAATCTTTCTTCCATTGCTTTGCCAATACCTAAGATTAAATAACTAGAATTTATATGTGCTTGACCAGTCAGAAAACTTTTCTTTATAAAATATTATATCCCAGGGGATATATTGTGATAATATCTCAGGAAAGATTTTTTCCTCTTTAAAAAGAATATTCTAAATGTCAAGCATCTTTTTAACAAAGAGAAATCCATGGCTCTCTGGAGGAAATTTGATTAGATGTAAACAAATTTTAAAATATTAAGCATATATATTGATTATTCACTTCATTTGAATCTCTGTAGAAGTAAATGATTTTGTGACGTTTATGAGTTGATGGACAAAAGAGTTAACGTTTGAATTCCCTCTAGAAATTTTTATCATATATACTTGTACTTTAGTTTAATTATAACTATCATGTTTAGTGGAGTAAGGGAAACAGATAAAGCATTGACTCATTCTGCTGATTTTTATATCCACCATAGTATTTAAATTCACCCTCCACATTCCACTGTAATTCAGTGAGGAAAGGGTCTAATTTGGGAAACGTTGCAAATATGGTTGATGTAGGTCTTGGTAACTGATTAGATGTTGTGGAATGGATAAATGTTAGAGGTCGGAGGCCAGAGAGATAGTATAACAGATAAGGTACTTGCTTTAGTTTGATCTGGTTTGATCCCCAGCACCACATAGAGTCCTCTGGGCCTCACCAAGAGTGATCCCTGAGCACTGAGTAAGTGCTGGAGTAAGCCCTGAGCACAGTTGGGTGTAGCCCAACCACCACTCCCCACTCAAAAAGGAAGTTATTCATGATGTGGGGTTGGGTTTTATTGTAGGATTTACTGTAGGATTTTTTTTTAAAAAACAGTGGTATCATTAGTATATATGTGCAAAACAATAAAAAGATGAATTTGAGAGAGAAAACGATGAGTGCAACTTGGAAGTTTCTGAATTTGAGTTTCTTGTTTTCACAGTGTAGGAGACCTGGTCAGAGAGCTCTTTGATAGTTTAAGTCAGATTTCTCAGCTGGAGGTGTGTGGTTCCCTCTAGCTCTCCAGGAAATTTCTAAGATATAAGGGTGCTAATAATCACATAAATAGGAATAGCTTAACACTAAGCTGCCAGCCAATCAAACGGTGAGGCTGGTAAGAGCCAAAAAAAGGAAGACAGGTTGGAAAAGGTCATGGCAGGGAAAAGATTAAACAGTGCTGGTTTAAAGTATGTATGTAGTGGTATAGCTGAAATCATAAAACTAAGTCAAGTACCCAAGCAGCAGTATATTAAAGAAAGGAATGTGTGCAAGGGAAAATATTGAGGGAACAATCTGACTCCATAAAGTTTTGTGAGAACGATCAGAGATCAGAGTTCAAAGAACAGGGAAGAAACAGATGGAGATAAAGGAGGCCAGGAGAGGAAACCTTTCAAGAGGAGTTTGCAGGGTGCAGACCAAGATTGCTCAGGAGCTGAGAGTCCCTTCAGAGCACAAAGCAATGAACACTTGATTTCAAATGGCAAGTCAGTAAACATGGAAGTGCAGTCTAGACTTCTACTTGGCTCTGGATCAAGCCTAAGAGGATTTTATAATTGACAGTTTCTGGCCAAAATCATAGAACAGAGACTATGAGGAACATTGGTGCAGTTAGGCTAGGTGCTAATTCAACACATTTTGTAAGATTTCCTCCCCTAAACTCAGTTCATTTAGCAACCATAATCATGATTTTTATGTATCCAAAGTGTGATGATTTTTTTTGAAGGGAGGACTGTGTTTTACTTGATTTTTCCAAACCCTTTTAATTTTAGCTGAAGTTAAAATAGAAATTCCATTTTCTAAATGTATTTTGTTTTGAAAATAACACATTATTTTCCCTGTATGTTACATCTATAGGAAACATTGCTGTTGTCCCAATCATTAAAACCATTGGTTTAGGCCTTGGAATCTTAATCTGGGGATCATTCAACACCTTAACTGGCTGGGCAAGTTCAAGGTAACCCAAAGAAAACTATTTTAAACAAGTTTTTCTGCACTTAAATTCTGTGTAAGACCTGTACTAGAAATTGGGCTAGTTCAGAAGATAAATATAATTTCTCTGGTGGTCTAGTGGTTAGGATTTGGTGCTCTCAGAGGATAAACATATAGCTCTTACCTAATAGAGTTTCCAACTGATAAAATATACATTGAACACAGTGTGCCTTTAATCTCATTTATTTAACATTTCAAAGCTGTGATCTAGATCAGTGCTTTTTAACCACAGGCCCACGAACTATTGTTGGTCCACAAATATAAGAAGGATGAAAACCAGTGATCTAGGAGCTAGAGAGCTAGTATGAGAGTTAAGGTATTTGTTGCATGCTCCAGCCCTTTTTCCATCATTAGCACCTCATATGTTCCCCCTTTGTACTGCCAGAAGTCACTTTTGAGCACAGAACCAGGATTTTGTCCCTGAGCACCTCTACGTGTGACCCAAACCAACCTCATCAAAGAAAGCACCGCTGATCTAGATATTTCATCAAGATATAGAGGAGAGAGGTAGTGTAGGGGCTAGGGAAATGCTTTACATGCACCAAATATGTTTGATCCTTGGCACCAGGTGATACGGCTTCTTAAACATCATAGGGCGTAGCCCTGGGAACCCTCAAGCATTACAAAGTGTGGTCCCAGAGGCCTGTGAGCACTGCTGGGTGGCCTTGTTGGTCACTAGCACCCAGAGCCTGAGAAGCATTGCATCTTTAGAACCTAGAGCTGCTTGTGTATTGCCTAGAATAGCCCTAACTCCTCCCCATCACCATTTGGGAACTCTCCCCTCCACTCCCAAATTAAAGCTACAGCAAGAACAGCAAAGAATTCTGTAAGAAATAGAAGTTGGAAGGAGAAAGGACTGGTGTTTATTTCCACTTTCTTTGTGAAACAATTTGCTGAACGTGTTAGAGGCATAATTGCCATTTTTAAAAACATGAAGTAAGCACATTGTATGAGTGCTGGATGACACAGAGATTGAACAACTTGCTCAATTTTATTGAATAAATTAGCTGAATTACGGTTGATAAGCCAGGATTCAAACCTAAGTTGTCAACTTTTTAAAAAGTTATTGTTGAATCACTGTGAATTACAATGTTGCAATGTTATTCAAGATTGAGTGTCAGGCATGCAATGTTCCAACACCAATCCCTTCACTAGTGTCCACTTCTCTCCACCAGTGTCCCGGTTTTCCTGAGACGGTGGCAAGATGGATTGGAAAATTAAATCCAATCTTCTGCTGCCTACAAGTTGTCTACTTCTGAAGTACAAATTCTTTCCTATCACGGCTAGTTCAGAGCCAGGCAACTACAACCCAATACCTTATTGGAGCATAGCCAGACTCATCCATTCATTTATTGCGTCTGGCTGCTTTTACATGGCAAGACAGTCTTGAATAGTTGCAAAATGCCTTGGGATTCACGAAGCTGCAAATAATTACTGCCTTGTCCTTTAAGGGAAAGTTTGCCAAGTCAAAACAAGAGCTGGGTTGACCAGTGGGGAAATCACAATCAGAAGTTAATGAAAGTACAGCCCTGAGTGGGCAGGGTGCTTGCCTTGCATATGGCCTGCCCATCTGAATCCGATTCCCAGCACCCCAAATGGTCATTGGAGCACGACAGATGTAATTCCTGAATGCAGGTGCAGAAGTCACCCCCGAGCACCAGGTGGTGTAGCCTTAAACCAATAATAAAAAGGAGTGCATGAGAGTGAATATATTGGATCTCAGTGATACTACTTTGCAAGGCTTAATGTCCATAATATGATCAGAAGCTTGTGGATTATGCGTTATAGATATAGAATATTCCCATACTAACATGACTTTTTTTACTGTAATGCTCCTGGTCAGCATTCAGATTAATGTTCAAGTTGAACCTGGGAGGGCTGGAGCGATAGCACAGCGGGTAGAGCATTTGCCTTGCACGCGGCTGACCTGGGTTCGAATCCCAGCATCCCATATGGTCCCCTGAGCATCGCCAAGAGTAATTCCTGAATGCAGAGCCAGGAGTAACCCCTGTGCATCGCCAGGAGTGACCCAAAAAGAAAAAAAAAGTTGAACCTGGGAGACTGAATAGGAGAGAGAATGTTACCTTCTTTGGGGGCTTCTCTTTCTGCTTAGAGTATTATAACAATTCCAGTAAAACCAAATTCACTGCCAAAACATTATCTGTTTCCTCTTGATTCTCCGTCCTGCAGCTTAGAACTGCTTTTTTTCCATCTGCCTGATGCCTTTCTCTTGCCCTTGTAGTTTACAATGACTGTTGAGAAGAACAGTCAGGATGTGAAAAAAAATTCAAAGGGGATATGAAAAAGTATTTCTAATCAAGCTGTACTTTTTTAAAAAAATTAATTTTGTTAAAGAACCAGGATTTACAAAGTTATTAACCATTGAGTGTTAGACACATGAGGGTCGAACACAGTCTCTCTGCCAGGGTCAACTTCTCTCCACCAGTTCCCTCCCACCCTCCCAACCTACCACCTTGATAAGCACACTTCAAAATTGTGGTTTTGTTTGCATCTCATGTTCTCACTATGGTTAGTTTTGTGGTTTAGAATATCTCTATCCCACTCCCCCATATTACAGATGAGGCCCTTGACTACTGCTCTGCCATACTGGCCTTCATTTTTTAAAAAATTTGTCTTAGTGAAACACTATAAGGTACAGTTGTAGACTTACAAATTTTTGTGCTTGGGTTTCAGTACAATGATCCAGTACCCATCCCTCCACCAGTGCCCATTCTCCATCATTTCCTTTTTTTAAAAAATTTTTTGTTAGTGAAACACCATGAGGTACAGTTGTAGATTTACAAATGTTTGTGCTTGGGTTTCAGTTATACAATGATCAAGTACCCATCCCTCCACCAGTGCCCATTTTCCACCACCACAGGTCCCAGTATCCCTCCCACCCCCATCCCCCAATTCCACCCTGCCTCTGTGGCAGGGCATTCCCTTTTGTTCTCTCTCCTTTTGGGTGTTATGGTTTGCAAAAGAGGCATTGAGTGGCAATCATGTTTGGTCTGTAGTCTACTTTCAGCATGCTTCTCACATCCTGGGAGGATCCTCCCAATACCCTTTATTTGGTGCTCCTTTCTCTATCTGAGCTCCCTTTTCCCCTAGAATGTGCGGCTGGCCTCCAAGTCATGGAGCAAAACTTCTGGTACTAAGCTCATACTGGCCTTCATTTTTTCACTTCTCCCTTCCTTTCCTTCTTTGTCCTCCTCCCTATACTATGGGATCAAGAATGACCTAGGCATCCCTTCATTACTACATTTTTCCCCCTCAAGCTTCCTTTTAAAAATTTATTTCCATATTATTCAGAATTATAGGCCAGCTTATTCTCCTTTACAGTCACCTCATTCAGAAGTACTTATACATCAATTTATTTAATCTTCATAAAGGAACTTACAAGACAGTTCAATTATTTTCAGCATGTTAGAGATAGGACAATAAGGCCAGTAAAGATAAGTAGCCTATTCAAGTATGAGTAAGAAGCTAAGAGATTTTGAATTGGAATCTAGGAATCAGAAGACACATCCTTTCCTTAATCACCATGCTGAATATGTTTTTTTTTTCTTTTTGGGTCACACCTGGCGATGCACAGGGTTTGCTCCTGGCTCTGCACTCAGGAGTTACTCCTGGTGGTGCTCAGGGGACCATATGGGATGCTGGGAATCGAACCCAGGTCGGCCGCGTGCAAGGCAAACACCTACCCACTGTGCTATCTCTCCAGCCCCCATGCTTAATATGTTTTTAACAAATCTACTTTACTTTTTTAAAAAATTTTGAGGGCTTGGGGGGACTGGGGGGACGGGTACATTGGGTAGTGCTCATAGGCTATTCCTGGCTCTGTGCTCAGGAGTCAGCCAAGTGCTGCTTGGTGGGACCACAGTGTTGGGGATACAGAGCGAACAACTCAGACCCCTGTGCACTATTTTTCTAGTCTACAACATATACCTCAATGGGATTTTCTTATTTTCTAGGTTTGGCTGGTTTGGAATGGATGCAGAAGAAGTAGCAAACCCCGTGCTTAATTACATTGGAGCTGCACTATCAGTCATAAGGTATCTGGCTATATCTAAAGATTTACCAATGCTTCTGAGTATTTAGAATCCTTTCTAGGGATCCTCCTGTGCTTGCCTTCTCTTTTGTAAGTTTCATTTCCTAACGTTCAGCTGACTTTTCCTTCTATTTGCTAGTGCTTCACCATTCTTAGGGTCAGAAACTCCATCTCTAGCTCTCAAAAGCTCTGAGACCTTGGAGAAATTGATGGACTGTTTTGGTGCTCACTTTGACTCTCTACATTAGGTAGAAAATCATAATACATAGCTCATAAATCAGATGAATTAGAACGGTAAGGTATTTTTCAAACTAAGACATGTTCTCTTAGTAAATGTTAAGTAAAATAAGTATCTCTTCTGCCTGGTGGAAGGGATAAAAGCAAAACCTTTATTTCTGTCAGAGTTTAAGGAAGTTTGAGGAAGGGCAAAAGCAAACAGAGGTCTGTCTAACTGGCTGATTCCCCACCCACATTTTATGGCATATTCCAACTATATGCATGTGGGTAAGGGGAGCCTTCCTCAATTTAAAAAAGTGTACATGAAAATCATCTTAAGGAAACAAAGCATTTGGTTTTGATGGACATGTGGTCATTCCTAACATCCTGACTGAACAAGAAAATGCTAAATTTCCACTCATGGTCATTATCTCATTATCTTGAAAATTAAGAGACAAAAATTCATAAGATTTTCAGTTCATGGACCTTTGACCTTTACAGCTATTGGGATCGATCTATATTCAAAAGGTCACAGTTGGAGGAAGAAGGCCTTAATCATGGCCTTAAGTGGAAGGACATAATCATGGCCCAAATGCAGGGCTCTTTCTCCATGCAGTTACAAATTCCTCTTATCCTGGCTGAGCTTTATTTCACCATGTTATGTCGTCTTCCTAATGTGACTAGGAAAGTCTTTGATTCTCTCTTGCTCAATTAGCTTTGCCACCCAAGGTTCACTTGCCTGTCAACTCACTCACTCTTTTATTGGTGCTCACCAGGGTTCATGCCCCTGTGTTGTTCTCACACACACACCTGGCTGCGGTGCATCCAGAAATCTGTTGCATTACTGGGAATCATGCTGTGCAGAATTGCCCAGCACAAAAGGCAGAGAGGGGAAGGTTCAGATTCAACTCGTATTCGCACTGGAACTTGTGCTCGCAAGGCAGCATTCCCAGCCAATGAACTATCCTGCAAGCCCTACTCTTAGTCTTCTTAATTCGACAGTTAGCTTCTCTCCCACTGTGAAAACACACTCTTTGGACTTTTGTGTCTAACTAATTTTATGAGCTATATAAATGAGGCTAAGCATGACTGAATCTGTATGACAGTATTCAGTCAGTAAAACTTGAGCATTCACACTCTGTTCCTTCTACCTATATGGCCTGAGCAAATCACTGCATTTTCCCAAAGCATTCCATGTCTTTGTCTGCAAAGTGAGCATAATGGCATCAACCTCTTAAGACATTTTGAGACTCAAATGAAATAAAATTTGTTAAATGCTTCGATTAGGGCTAAGTATGTGGTTCAGTTATGCTCTTTGTGTTGAATATTTTCACTAATAATTTTTATTAAAAGCTACTTTATGGTCAATTGCTGTTTTCCCTTTATGTATTTTTTTTTTTTTTTTGCTTTTTTGGGTCACACCCAGCGATGCACAGGAGTTACTCCTGGTTCATGCACTCAGGAATTTCTCCTGGTGGTGCTCGGGGGACCATATGGGGTTCCTGGAATCGAACCTGGGTCTGCTGTGTGCAAGACAAACACCCTACCTGCTGTGCTATTGCTCCAGCCCCCGCTTTATGCATTTCTAGACCAATCTATGTGAAGCTTAGCTGCAGCACTCAGGAAATCCCGTGGCAAGGAAATGTAATGCTCTCTTCCGGTGAGAGAGGATATTTCAGAACCTTTCGTTTCATCACTTTAAGTCAATGAAAGCAGTGCTTTCTGAAGGGGATTCACCAAATAAGTACAGCTTCCCGATCAGGATGAAGACATAGTTAGATTATAATCATATTCATTTAAGATGTTGTTTTTGGGCCAGAGAGATAGTGTAGGGGTTAATGTGGTCCTGGGTGCTGCAAATGGCATGCTGAGCACCACCAGGAGTGATCCCTGAGCACACACAAGCCCGAGCATCACTCAGTGTGCTCCGTCCAAAACAGAAGATAATGTTTGTTTGTTTTTCTTTAAATTGACATGATTGTATTTATTTGTGTGTAGTCCAATTTCAGTGGATTACCTAAATAAATTCTAGTCTAGTTTCCTTATATGAAGTCAAAGATACAAGTCAGGGTCTAAAACCAAAACCAACCTAGGTAGTTTCAAAAAACAAGGGATTTATCACAGGGAATTGTTTGCACATGTGTTCTAAGAACCCAGTGGAGCAGAAGGGTGAAGGTTTCTTCACCCAAAGACCTGAGTTCACACTGCTGTTGGAACTGCCTGGCTTCTGCCCTCACTTGTCACTGTTGGAACCACCCCCCCCCCCAAAAAAAAAAACCAGCTCCACTATCCTTTTTCTCTGATTCATATACCTCCAATGGCAGAACCTATAAGGTTTGTTAAATATAATTTTAAGTCTTAAGAACAACATGGTTTAGGAGTGTATGTATGAAGGGGTGTGTGTGTGTGTGTGTGTGTGTGTGTGTGAGCATGCGTGTGTGCATCTGTATGTGTGTTTACTGTTCTTTTTTTCTTTTATTTTGTATGATTCAACATTGGTTTACAAGAATGTAAATGTTGATAGGTAGGTTTTAAAGATGAAGTGTTTACCATACCACACATCACAGTACAATAACATCCAGTCATGTTCACACCCTCTTAATAACCTTAGTTCTATAGCCAGAGATTAGGGATCTTTTGCTTTTTGGTTTTGTTTCTTTAGGAACATGATATGCTCCTTTTTTCCCAGCTAGTTTTGGGGTCACACATTGCAATGTTCCCATTGCTCCTGGCTTTGCACATGGGAATTATTCCTGGTGGTGCTTGGAGGCATCAGATGGGATATCAGGGATCATCTGGGTCTGACACATGCAAGGCAAGTGCCTTACCCACTGTTGTATCTCTCTGGCCCTGTACACACATTGTTTTTTATTTAAATGTATCACCTATGAATGAAATTGTCCAGTATTTGTTTTTTTATTCTGCTTTATTTCACTTAGCATGGCTTCCTCCATTCTATCCATAATGTAGCAAAAAGGCATCTTTTGTTTTAGTAGTTAAGTACTATTCTTTTATGTATATATGTTCCAATATCTTCATCTGTTTATTTGTCCTTGGGAACTTGGGGAGCTTCCAAACCTTAGCTATAGATTGTTGAAAGGAACACATCATTTTGAATTAATGTTTCTGTGTTCCTTGTTGGGTTGGAGTGACAGCACAGCAGGTAGGGTATTTGCAGCCTACCTGGGTTCGATTCCTCCACCCCTCTCGGAGAGCCCAGCAAGGTATTGAGAGTATCTTGCCCACACAGCAAGTTACCTGTGAAGTATTTAATATGCCAAAAACAGTAACAAGTCTCACAATTTGTTGTGAGATGTTACTGGTGCCCACTCAAGCAAATCGATGAACAATGGGAGGATAGTGCTACAATGCTACAGTGTTCTTTGTTAGATATCTGGGAGTGGATTGGTAGTCCTACTTTAATATATATGTTTATTTATATATAAAATTATATATATTATACATATATATCATATACATAATACATATATATGGGAAAACTCACCACACTGATTCCCAGAAAGGTTGGACAAATTTACGTTCTCACCACAAGTCTCACAAACAATTGCCCTGGCCTCTTGTTAAAGAACAGTCACAACTATGATCTTGTACCTCACTGTGGCTTTATATTGTAGCTTTCTCCCCATATTATCAATTCACTCTGAATTATCAATAATACTGTACCCCAAACTCTTCCCTCAGTCCAAAAGATCCTTTAATCAGCCTTCTTTAAATATCAGTTGAAAATTTTCATCCTATGAATTTTTATGTTGATTTTGTTCTTTCTTATTAGAATCAATCACTCCTAAATTTCCGTTCTATTTTGTACTCCTTCTATCATCATAAGTCTCGGGGTCTCTCTGCTTTTTTTTGCAGTCACTTTGGTCTTATTAGTTTTTTAGCATTTTAAATTTAAGCACAGTGATTTAAAATACTGTTCTAATAATGGTTGGGGCTTATAATATACCACCACACCCACCACCCATGCCAGCATCCCTGTCTCTTGGCCTGATTACTCTACCCTGCACTGCCCTCCCCACAAGGCAACAATTTCACTTCTATAGGCCAACTCTCAAGTCTGATCATAGAACCACTAATTACTCCCTTACTATGTTTCTTTATACCCCATACACAAGAGAGCCCACTGGCAATTTGTCCTTCTCCCGTTGACTCACTTCATTCCACATAATAAGATCTGTTTTGTATTATTCATACAGTGTTCATTACCCTCTAACTAACCTGATGAATATAATTAATTCTTTTCTTTACAATTCCTTCCTCCTACTATTCCAACACTTAACTACAAATTACTTGACACATAATAAATGAAGTTGGAACTTGGTTTGCCAACTTTAACTCTTTAGTCACCAAGATCTTGTTATCTATTTGATTTCATCTTCAGGTACATAAAATAAATCTCATTTCCTTGTCCTAACTTGTCCTATGTCTCCTATCTTGACATAATTAAGATGGAACTCCTCTGACCTACCTATTTTGTGACAAGAATTAATCTAGATTAGCCGCAGACTAGAATTAGTCACAGATTTAAAGACTGTTCCTAAAAATTTAAGATATCTTGATTTTTTTCTCTTGGTCAGTGACCCTTCCTTTTCTATCGAATTTATGAAGGCTTTATGTCAACCTACATCTTACGCAATTTTATTATGACAAAAGTACATAATGAAATTGGTGCACACCCAGAGGTATCCAGGGCTTATTTGCACAGGCATCATTTCTGACAGACCAGGTTGACAATGGCTAGGCAAGTACCTCAACCCCTGCTCATTTCTCCAGCCCAGCTCATTTTTTTTTAAATGGAAAAGTTTAAGCCCAGAGAGGTTAACTCATTTGTTTGAGGGTCACAGAGTTGTTAGAAAAAAACTAAATGACCTTCCCTTGTCTCTAGCCTTCAAGCATATATTATAAAACACCCTGAATTGAGTTTTATTAGAAAAACATGTGTCTACATAAAATCGGAGTTTTTATTGTATAACTTTGAAAGTAAAATGTTATTTTTTTTTAAATTTTTATTAGTGAGACACCATGAGGTACAGATGTAGACTTACTAATTTTTGTGCTTGGGTTTCAATTATACAATGATCAAATACCTATCCCTCCAACAGTGCCCATTTCCCACCACCATGGATCCAAGTATCCCTCCCACTCCCCATTCCCCCCATCCCACCCTGCCTCTGTGGCAGGGCATTCCGTTTTGTTCTCTCTCTCCTATTAGGTGTTGTGGTTTGTAAAAGAGGCAATGGGTGACAATCATGTTTGGTGTATAGTCTACTTTCAGCATGCTTCTCCCATCCCAGGAGGATCCTCCCAGCACCCTTTATTTGGTGCTCCCTTCTCTATCTGAGCTCCCTTTTTCCCTAGCATGTGTGGCTGGCCTCCAAGCCATGGAGTAAAATTCCTGGTACTAATCTTGGCCACTCTTGGGTGTTGGTCTCCTATTTTGTTACTTTATGTTCCTCAGATGAATGCAATCTTTCTATCTCTATCTCTTTCATTCTGAGTCATTTCACTTAACATGATACTTTCCATGTAGTACCACTTGTATGTAAATTTCATGACTTCATCTTTTCTAACAGCTACATAGTACTCCACTGTGTAAATGTACCAAAGTTTCTTTAACTAGTCATCTATTCTCGGGCACTCAGGTTTTTTCCACATTCTGGCTATTGTAAAGAGTGCTGCAATGAACAAACAAGTGCAGATGTCACTTCGACTATACTTTTTTGCTTCTCTGAAATATATTCCCAGGAGTGGTTAAAATGCTATTTAGATGTCTGATGTTATCTTTGAAATTATATATGCACATATATTCATGATATATAAGCAACATACATATTTAATGAAAGGTTCCATAGAATTAGCTTTTATGCATTCAAGTACTGAGCGATAAACACTTTGGTAACCTTAATGGAATTAAAAGATGTATTCCTAAATTTATAGAATTAGAAAAATTTAGAGATCAAAAATAATGTGGAATTCCATAGTAACTGTTCTCATTATGGAAATTCAGATAAAATTCAGTGAGTACTAGCCTGGGGAATATTCTCTTCTCATTTTAACTCATCTTCAGTTTGGATAGAAACAGAGCATGAGGGGGCTGGAGCTATTGTATACTGGGGAGGGTGTTTGCCTTAGATGAGGCTGACTCAAGTTTGATCCCTGGCATCCCATATGGTTCCCCAAACACTGCCAGGAATAACCCCTGAGCATTACCAGGTGTGACCCAAAAGCCAAACAAAACAAAACAAAACAGCATGAATATGTCCAATTAATAAAAAAAAGAAAAGCAAAAGCAAGTAGTTTTGGGATATTGGAAATATGGAGAGTTTGGTGCAGAGAATTGTTTAAAAAATAAAAGTCCATTTAAGATATTATATTGAGACAGATGGATGAAGCATAATGGAGAGAGAAATAAGAACTGAAAAGATACATAATGTTTCATGTTGAAAGGAATATGGAACCACTTATGTTCCTAAAGTAAGAGGTTGAAGTAAGGAAGTGAACTAGAAATGTCAAAATTATTATACAAACAATACCGTAGAAAGTATATTATTTTATATTTAGTTATCTATATTATTTCAGTCCCATATGGACTTTCAAATTTTCCCCTATTTATTTAATGTTTAAACTATGCAAATTTGTTATAAAAGGCACGTTTAAAATATACAAAATATACCAAAGACTTTAGTTTCCATAGATTAATTTGTCATTTAAACATATTTGCACGGTAAAAATGTCAGATGTGAGGCCTTTGTTACAAAGATAATTGATAAAAAAAAAACGTGAACAATCAATGCAGTAAGAGATTTTGAAAGGGGGAAGTGTCATTAAGAATATTTCTGTGTTCTTTTGTCTCTGTAGTGGAACTCTGTATATATCAGCTTATAAAGTCACCTCATTCTTTGTTAAGGTTGCATAACATTCCATTATGTAACCAATCTCTCCAGTTCTCCAGGGTATGGAGTATATGTGTTACAGAACGTAGAACAGGATTGGTAGGGTCTGGAGTTCTGGAGTTGACACAACTGTAGAGGACCTAGAGTCAGCTGAAGGGATGGGGTTGACAGGTCTGACATATCGGTATATGAATGGCTGGAGGTATAGTACATAAGGTAAGAAGACACTTGCCTTGCACGATGTCCCTGGTCACTGCTGGGTATACCCACCCCCTCCAAAAATAAAGTACCTGTACTTTTACTGAGAATTTTTGTCAGTATAATCGATGAGAAATACTACTTCAATGTAGTATATGTATGTGTAATATATATATATACATATATATTTATATATGTGTGTGTATTATAAACATCTATACGAAGAGATATATTATCAGGTGATTTATTTAGCATGAAATTTTAAGGTTATGCTGGAGAAAGAAGAACAGAAGGGACATTGATTAAAATTGGATGGCAAATGAAGGATCTGATTTTGGAGAGATGGTGATTTAACTTTAAACTTGTTGCAGTTAAACACAAAAGAGCAGAAAGATTTTACAGGGATTAAGGTCTTTGCTTTGCACGCAGCTGATCCTGACTCAATTTCTGGCATAGCTTAGGGTCTCCTGAGGCCCACCAGAGATGATCCTTGAACACAGAACCAGGAGTAAGCTCTGAGAACTGCTAGGTATGGCCTAAAAGCTAATTGCCTAACAAGCCAACTAACTATATAGATCTTTATGTATCTTAGTTACATAAATTAGGTACTTGCATAAATATTTATATGTTTCTGTATCTAAATAAATATATATTTGTATAAGACATAATGTATATATATATGAGATGTAAAAAAGAATGGTGGTTCTGACTGGCAGGTAGTTTTGAAGTAAACCATTGTACCATTTGGACTTTATTTAAATTGTTTTAAAATGTAGCCAGCTTGGTGTGGACCAGAGTTATGTAAATATCAATATTTTTTTCTCCACAGTGCTTTTGTATTTTTGTTCATCAAAAGTGAAATACCAGATACCACATCTTCCACAGATACCACGCCATTAATAACAGAGCCTGTGAGTATTGTATGATAAATGATTTAAGCCATACCATTAAGATAAAAGGAAAATGCTTAGATTTGAAGCAGCTGAAAATGTACATAGAAATCATTATTTCCACAGGCATGCTTTATAACAAGCATGAACATCTATTTTTATTAATGATAGATTCCTACCAATAGATGTATATACATTTTTATGTTTTGAAATGACACAGATTTCTACAATAAAGGAATCCTAGATACTATAGAAGAACTATAGAAGGGCAAAGGAAGGAAGTTGTGAAATAGGAGGCCAGAGTAAACTAGACCAGAGGAAGCCCAGGACAAGTCATCAAAAATAGAAACTCAACTTGATTTTCCTTTTTCACTCTTTTTTGCCATATCCTGTTCCATTTTATGCTGAAGATGAAAATATGGGAGAACTTACCATTTTGATTTTGTATCATGAGTGTGGGATAGCATCTCTGTAGTAAATAAGGACAAATATTAAAAGATCCCACATCGCACAGGTTCCTGTAGCTCCATATACAAAAGTAACATGAAGGCAGCGACCATTGCTATAAGTTTAGTCCCAAAACTTTCCTCTTTCAAGTGTTCCTTCTACCTGCCCTGAAAACTCATTTTTCTCTCTTTTATCTCCCTCCATTATTTTGGTGAGTGAAATTTAAACTAAATCCAAAGCTAAATAATGAAAATAGAAGAGAAAAAAGAGGATTAATGATCCACAAGCAGCTCTAATCTGGGAAAATGGAAAAGTTAGGATTGAGTGAAGGTTCTAGAAATCCTTTTCTCCTTTATAGATGTAGAGACATCCTATACTACCAGCATTCATTATTACAAAGGGCAAAAATAGAATAAAATACAACTAAAGTATAGATAGCAGGCCTTATTTTTCTAGACAGTATGGAAGAATATAAAACAAAGTAAGCAGCATGAATATATTAATTCTATTATAAACAATGATTTCTCAGAAAAAAATAGTGGCTGGGGAAAAAAATCTACAAACAATATAGTTGGTAACATACAATCAAATAGCATCTGTTCCTCATTGTGAAAGAAGAGTAAATAATAAAGAAGTTAGACATGGACAGCACAAGACAAATAATTCAGATCTAGTGCCTTATCTGTTGCAAAAACATGAAGAAATCTCAGTCAGAAAGCAAAGATTTAGCAAAAAATATTCAGTCAAAAATTCAGTAGTTAGAAATATTATGTAGCTTGCTCTGAAAACCCATGTGCTTCCTTGAACACATACTTCCTCTCTTTCTTTCCCCTCTCATCTTTATAAATAGGGTTCCATAAAAGTGATCTTGCTTCACCCGTAAAAACATATTATGAATTTTTTTCTTATTTATTTACAACTTAAAATATCTTAATTCTGAAAAAAATCTGGATGAAGAATGATGATGATAGTCATTTCAAAGCAGAAGAGTCTTAAATCACCCATGGCTCTAATTTTTTTACATGTTTTTAAAATATGCAAGCATAACACAGAAGTTAAAACTTAGTAATTTTGATAGATACATAGGCCAGTCATATACTAAGCTATTAAAAAAAATTAAACAAATCTTTCTCAGCCAACTCACTCTGATTGAAAGGGAATAAGAAATCTTTGGACCTAGAAATATCTACACAAAAATCAGCATGCCTAAAATATTCATTATTTTACAGTATATTTAAGGGAGGAAAAAGTAGGGGTGAAATTGGCACCAGTGTGATTTTTTTTTTGCTTTGGACAAATATTTTCAATAGGCTATTAATACAAATCCAGATGCATGTACATTCCCTCCGTACTCCTGGGTGGATAAACTTTCTCAGACACAACACCGCATTGTGTAAGTAAATATTTCTTTTGTCAGTTCCATATTTGGTTCAATCGGGGATTACAAGTGGAATAATATTCTTCATTAAAAGAAAAAACAAGCAACAAACATTTTAACTTCCTTAGCTTTGTGGTGAGAGATTTCTTATCTTCTACTGAATTTTCTTTCACAAAACATCTCCTTCACTAAGGAAATATTTGTGGAAAAAAAACTTTTACAAAACCAGTTGTCTCGATTAATCAAACCTGGTATGCATTTGGGATCTACTTTAAAACAGCATTCTTCAACCTTTTTATACCTGTCGACCCACACCTGTTCTGAATACAATTCCATGGACTAGTAGTTAAAAACAATGGGGTAGACCAGTATTTTTCTACCTTTCTGCACCTGCAAATTGATACTGATTCATCAACCAGACAGGTGGTTGATGAAAGATTCTCTAGTATTTTACCATGGTTCAGGAATTTCCAGTTCCTCTTGCAGCTTATTGCAAGGTCAACTCAGAGTTCACATAGTCCCATATTCCTTAGGGTACTATTAAAATGGGCTTTAAAAAAATAAAAGTAATTATTTTCACATAATTTTTTCTAGCTCATAATATTCTTTGTTTTAAGCCAAAGACACTTTCAAAATATTAACTACCTCTATCTGAAATTATTGGAAATGCTTGCTTCTTGCAGAGATGGTGCAGTTCTGAGACATCAATTTAACTAGTTCTCAAAATGATAGATTTCTTAACAAGAAAAAATAGCATCCTGCCTGAAATAGCCAGATTGTTTATTTCAGTGCTTCTTCCACACTGCAATAGCCAACTGAGTTAGAGGCAAGTCCATGGATTCCCAATCATTGCTTTGAACAAACATGAGTTTAATATTTAGTTTATCCTAGCCCTGTGGCAGATATTTAGTACTTAAAAAAAGTAAGTTCAGAGGAGTCAGAGAAATGGTAGTGCAGAAGTTGAGGTGCTTGTCTTGCCTGTGTCAGACTCTGGTTCTCTCCTGTATATGGCCCCCAAGCACCACTAGGCATGATATTTACGTACTGAGCCAGGTGTAAATCTTCAGTACCATTGGGTGTCACCCCAAAACAAATAATAATAATAATAATAAGCATAAGCATGTCCTTTGCACAAAAACTTCAATATCTAGAGTCAAGTTTATCTATGTATGTTGTATTATGATAGAAATATTTTCATTTGTGTAATGGCTATTTATAAAGACAATCCACAATCTGATATTTTCAAAATTCAAAATTAGACAGTTAGAGGACAAAAGCTGCTCTCAGTGCTGACACCACTTGAGTGGTGCAGGAGTTTTCTTTGAATTCTAACAGTCGATGGACTGAGATACATGGGTGATTCCTGAAAAAGTGGCTTGTGATTTTGATTTAAAGCAAACTTTATTATGATCCCATTGGTGTGTTTGTCATAAATACTCCTTTGGTCCAATATTAATAGTGATTTATTTGTTTTTTAAGGGGCTGCAGTCTTGCAGTAATATCTGGAATTCTCTATGGATGTACGTTTGTGCCAGTCATTTATATCAAGGATCACAGCAAAAGAAACGATAGTATATATGCAGGGGCAAGCCAGAATGGTGAGAACCAATGATTTTACATAAAAATAAAAGCCATGGCTATTTTTCTACTTGGCAATATAAAGAGAATGTGTTCATGATAAATATTGACAGAGTTTTACTTTGATTTTTTTCATTGTAACTGGTGAATTGAAGAGGTACTTACTGAAGACTAAAAATAGTAAAAGACTGGTTACTTCTGGTGATTTTTAGTGTGACAAAGGCATATAACTTTAGTTTTAATTCATTTTATCTCCTTTTATCTTGGCACATGACTTCTGGATTTACAATAAGATTTAGAGACCATTTTCTAGTTTGGTAGTTGTTTCTGAGATATGTATTCTTTTCCTCTTTATAAACAAAACTATGGGCTGTGAGTGTTTCAGGGGGCTAATGAGCTTTGCATATCAGATGCCCAGGTTCAATTCCTGGTGACATGGACCTCTAAGAACCAATGGATGAGGCCCCCAAACCAGAATAAAAATGAAAATAAAGCAAATAAAATAAAATATCATCCATGATATTTCAAAATCAAATAAAGGTCAAAGTATTCCCTTTTAAAAGATTAAAGTAAAGCCTGTTTAGTTAGAAGATGTTATTTTTCAAGCACACGGAAAGACCCAAATTACTATCCTTTAGTTGTCAGTTCATAAAGATAGAATTAATATCTTAGGTATAAACTCACCACTTTTGAGCCTTGTACAGACTCAAAAGATAAGATTATCTTGAAAAAGATCTTATAATGATGCTAAAATGAAATTTAGACTCATGAAATTATGAGAATGAGATGATGGATAGTATAGTCCTAAATCTGATCTTATGAGAAGTAAAGATATCGTATGTTCAGAGAAGGATGAAGTTGGCAGTGCTGCTTGGGTCCTGTAGACCGGAGGCTACCAGGTCCACACCTATCTGGGTTAGCATCCTCCAGTGCTGTGCGTTGCAGTGTTTGGGGCTACACAATGCCATGAACTAAATGGGGGTCCCTGTGCATACATGGCTGACCCTGGGCTTTCTTCTTTACGATTTCTTCTAACTGCATGGGAAATACTATCTGTCCTACCATTTTGTGAACATAAAATGAAAACAACTGATTGTTAATGAAAACAGTTGTTCTTGGTCAGAATAAACAATCTCAATAGAACAACCAGTTCTAAGTACACTCATTCTGTATTATCTGCTTATCTGTTTAAGCAATATTATCTGCTTAAACCATTAGAGGCTCTGGGATTTTTCAGTTATTGGGTCATCATCATGTGTTATTTATTTCCCCAGGCACTTAAGTTTATGGCAAAGAAAAAAATAAAACTCTCTTCAGAGTAAGCTCCCGAATATCCTTCAGGGCAGTGGTTCTCTGCCAGAGTAGCTGCTCTAGAGAGTGGTCAGTAGACCATATATAATTAGCACCCCCAAAATATTCTGATCTTCCCTAATTACAGTTCTACTTGGAGATCTGTTACCATTGTTATAGCTATTAAAAGGGAGAGATTTACATATTTATGAAATGTTTATTGTGCTTATTTAGTTTTCCAGAATAATTATAAAAATTGGTCTTTTAGATGTGGGACTAGTAATCATTTGTTACTTAGTTATTTCTAGATTTTGAATATATTAAAATTTTACATAAGCAGGATGTAGAAAGTAGGATGATTTGAATATAAATAATACTTTTCTTATTTTTAAGATTAATTTAGCTATTGTTTTAACTTTAGGAAAAAAGATATATTTGGAACAACATATTTGATATTTTTATAATCTATCTTTTCAGATGTAGATTATGTTTTTGCACACTTCAGTGGCATCTTTCTTACAAGTACAGTCTACTTTCTGGTCTACTGTATAGCCATGAAAAATCAGCCTAGACTATATCCTGAAGCAGTCTTGCCAGGTAAAGGTATTTCTTCATTAATTATCCTTCTATATGAAATTATTATATATTTCTATATAAAATTATTATAGTATTATAGTATACTCTTAGTCTTATATATACTATAGTATACTCATAGTATTATAGTATACTCTTCTCTAGAAACCAAACCATCCTGTGTGTATATGTTTTGTGTTTAATTATTTTGGTCCAGTTTATCACCATATGAGTTATTTTAAAAACCCTGAAATTAAATATGAGACTCCAGGCATTATTGCAGAACCTAAAACCTAGGCAATAATGAATCTAAGATCTTTCCTTTTCTTTGTCAAAACATCAAGGGATCAGAAAGATAGTATAGCAGAAAGACACCTTGCCTTGTTGGCAGACTCAGGTTTGATCCCTGACATCCCACATGGTCCCCAACCCTACCAGGAGTGATTCCTGAGTGCAAAGCCAGGAGTAACCCCTCAGCACTGCTGGGTGTGGCCCCAAAACGAACAAAACAAACTTCATTATCTAAGGTTTCATATTAAAAGCCTTGTGATTCCATTTCTTTAAAAGTAAAAATATCCACAAAAGGGAATCTGCAGTACTTTGGAAAACAGTTTCTTGAAAATATAAAGACAAATTCTAGAGTTCAAAGAGGTAAATATTTAATGAACATGTTTTTGAGCTTAATACAATAGGCATTTAGGCATTACAATTCCCACGATCATATTTGTCATATCTCTTATATACTTGATAATTTTGTGTCATAAGCATATATTGATAAACAATTATGTTTAAAGATAAACTTCATTCAATAATTTTCTATAATTTAATTTGTAATATGTACACAAGTAAAATGAGTATATAAACAAAATAAAGCATGAGACAGACATTCATTTTGAATGCATGATTCGTGTAAGTCACCTTGTCGAACAATTGGCTATTTACTCATAGCAAATACTGAGAGTAACTCCAAGCATCCTGAAATTTGAATATGCTATTTTCATTCAGATTCTAGGCAAATAATTTTATTTGTCCTGTTGTGGTGGTTGTTTTGTTTTTGTTTTGTTTCGTTTTGGTTTGAGTTTTTTGTTTTTGTTTGGGGAGGCCTCTCTTTTACTATAGCATCCTTCCAAATATCTCCTATTTTGACATTAACGGTTTAGAGTATGTGATGTTTGCTGAGCACAGTCAGATTGTCTTTCCTTAGCCCGTTAGCATTCCCCAGACTTTACCTTTCAACAGTCCAAAACAGAGAAGTCAGAACCCACTGCGGCCCACAGGCCAGTAGGAATGTTCAGTTGGTGCTTTGCTCTTCCTGCAACAGCATGAGTGGGACATTTTCAAAGGAGCGGCTGGTTTGTCACTGTGTGGTGTCTGTGTTTCAGGATTCCTCTCTGGGCTCCTTTGGGGGATAGCAACCTGCTGTTGTTTCATAGCCAACCACTCTCTCAGTGCTGTGGTCAGTTTTCCCATCATCACTGCTGTAAGTAGCTCGTTGCTTTTCCAAATGCTTTTGAATTTCAAAGATAAATTTAATTTTTCTGTATCAATCTTAGTGAATCACTGAAAAGCCATCATCAAGGTGCATTTTAGTGAATCACTGAAAACCATCATCAAGGTGCATTTTTAGGAGTATGAAGAATGTCGTAGATTTCTAGATCACTGATACCATCTGGTCTTCATAGCCTTCACTGTTACAAGGCTATATCTGACCTCATTTTTTGGCAGCTTTATTCATCCTTTAATCTAGTTGAAACTTTTTGTTTGATTATTTTATCTGATATAATTTTGATCTGTAACAATTTTCATAGTGTTCATATAGCAATTTACATATATAAAAGTTTATAAATGCACGTAATGGTTTTGTTCATGTTATCAAGAATCTTGTGACAGCCCAAAAGAATAATTTTCAGGTAGGACTAAAAGTGTAATTTCAGACTCTTCTTCAAATGGTATTTCAATACTTTTTGATGAGAGCATTCAAAATGGGCCAAAGCACAGTCTTGTCTTGGAATGCTGCCATTTATCATGCCATAAAATGGTACAATTTTCTTGGGGCCCCTAGTGTGCCACTGATAGAGAACACATGACAGGCACATGTGACCATGTGTTTGATTCCTGGTACTGAAGAAAAAGGAAAAAAAAAGAAAAATTAAAATTTTAAAGGTATCAGTCACATGATACATAGATAACAAAAAAGCAAAGGAAGCATATTTCCTTTGAAGCAAATATTGGTCAGACTTGCCACACTTGAAGATGATAAAATTGAGGCAATTCTTATACACATTGTCTGAAGGTATAGTTCCAGTGCATGGTGCAATTTTCTGTCATTAATACAGAATCCAACTTAGTTTGCTATCATATATACACAGGAATTAACTGTTTTCATTTGATATTTAGGCATATTTCAGATATCTTAGATTTCTGACCAGTTCACTTTAAATCCCCTGCTTCTCAAAATGTCAGCATTAACATAAAAAGATGGGGCCAGAGAGAAAGTACAGCTGGTAAGGCTCTTGCCTTGCACACAACTGACCCTGGTTCAGTCCCCGGCACCCCATTTGATCCTCCAAGCTGGGCCAGGAGTTTTTTCTCAATACCAAGTCAGAAGTAACCTCCTGAGTACCTGTGACCAAAGCAACAAGAAGTTAGCAGCATACTTATGTAAATTAAGAATACTGATTTTTAAAGACATTATCTAGTCTAAACATACTTCAGAAAAGTTTGAAACACTTAAATTTTAATACAAATTCTGTATCTCAAACACATTATTTCTTTCAGGTCTTGGTGTGATACGAGTAATTTCAAATAATGAAGAATTTATCCCATTCCTACTCTGGACAAACTTGCAGGCTATCGAATATAGCCTGCCCACAGGGCAGAGTCTGGCAAACTCCCCGTGGCACACCAAATATGCCAAATACCAGTAACAATGATGGGTCTCATTCTCCTAAAAAGCCTTGAATATAATCTCAGGGCTAGGATGAAAGAGACGTTACTGGGGCCTGCTCGAGGCAATCGACGATTAACAGGATGAATGAATGAATGAAAATGAAGAATTTTTAAAAAAAATATATAAAGAACCTATATTTTTACTTTGATATTTGAATAACTTCTGAGGAATTATTTATGCCTAAGTCATAATTAGAACAAAAGCAGAACCTAATTTCTTCCAAAAGGGTTTTCTTCTCACAGTTCAAGGATATTTAATGATAAGAATAAACATATAAGACAGAAAAATTCAGTGGGTAAGCTTTATAAAGTTTACCAGGTAAAAGTACATTTGTCAAAAATATATGAAGTATGGTCTGCTCTACAATCAGGGATGCGAGTATTACTTGACAATAATATATCATTCCATATGGAGGAATAATATTGTAGCCAATAGACTGTACAGCAGGGAAGGTACTTACCTTGCCTGTGGCTAACCTTGGTTTGATTCCTGATACTAATTCTTGAGCACTGCCAGGAGCAAATCGGGAGCACAGAGCCAGGGGTAAACCCTGAGCCCAGCAGATGTGGTCCCAAAACCCAAAAAGGAAACAAAATGGACTGGTATTAATTCATATCTGATGTAAATGTTATTATATGTAGCAGTTTTTCTTTTAATCAAATTAATCATTTGAGCAACTGTGCATTCTCCAACAAAGTTTTAATCCTCTTGTGAAATGCACAGCCACAGTTAAATCTCACAAGACAAACAGAAATCAAAATGACAGTGATAAAACAAGCAAGTAGCACTAAAAGTAAATGGTCTTTGATTAAAGGTTGTGTTTTATTTCCTCAGAAAAGGCAATTATTTTAATTCAATTATCCCTTAAGATTATTTACAAGGGACATTGAATATTCATTGGTTACTAATATTTACAACAAATTATTTTATTTGGCTTTGGGGCCACTCCTGTTGATTCTCAGAGCTTTCTTCTGACTCTGTGCTCAGGACCCCTCATGGTGCGGCTCAGGGGACCAGTGAGGTGCTGGATATTGAACTCGAATGGGCCCCTTTGCAAGGCATGTACCCTACCGACCATATTATCACTTCAGCCCTACAAAGTATTATAGTAGACAAAAAAATTATATTAGGCAATTTTCCACATCTATTTTTTGTGTTGAATTAAGATAAAAATTGAGAACAAGGGCCAGAGAGATAGTACAGTGGGTGGGGCACTTGCCTGGAAGTTCGCCAACCCAGGTTTGATCCCTTGCACCCAATATGGTCCCTTCCAGGAGGGATTCCTTAAAGACAAAAGTTATCTCTGAGCATTGCTAGGTGTGCTCCAAAAAATAAAGCAAAACAAACAAACAAAAAAACAAACCCCCTACAAGACTAAGCGTTAAAGCCTAATTAAGAAAATAAATTGTTTCTAGGTGGGGTGTGGAGGGAAGTTTGGTAGAGTATGGGTTTTGGAGTCTTGCCCATCAGAATATTGATACGGGAACACTGTTATGTTAGTTGTCGTGCCCTCCTCTGTAGCTTTCTCTGATGCCAGGGGTCTAATTGCTATCTGGGATGATAAAGGAACAGTCTACTGCTGTGAGACAATTAATTGCTAGCTTCAATCCTCTTTCTCTAGTCAAATTTATTTATATTCCAAAATAATTCAGTCCCTACTCTCAAGGATTTTACATTTGTATTATCTTGGTAAATCTGAATTTTGCTTTTAGTGAACAAATTTAAACATCACTATCAACCAGCTTTAATAACGACAAATGTAGGCAATGTTATTTTATCAAAAAGAGACTATTTTTTTTCCTCCCAGCAGTGTTGTTTTTCCAAAATGCATCTCTTTTCTGTAGTTCTGTTATTCACTGGAAAATATTATTCAATCAAAAAAAAAACAGAAGAAAGAAAGGAAATACCCACTGAATAGGAAAAAGGACTCATGATCTCTGCTCCAAATCTTTCCTCCCTATTAAGACTCAAAGCCAGTTGAACTTTCCCCAGAAGCTCAGCTTGCCAAAATAGGCTGGAGAAATAGCTCAGGGGCTAAGGCACTTGTCTTGCATGTGATCAATCTCAGGTCAACCCCCCCAGTACCGTATATGGTCCCTGAGCACTATTAGGAGTGATCCCTGAGCACAGAGCCAGGAATCCTGAGTGCAGCCGGACCTGCCCCACGCCCACCCCCACCCCCCAAAAGGGTTCAGATTTACCTTATTTTCAAAGGCCAGCTTAAGGTGAATTTTTCTTAATTAACAATGGGAAAATATACAACCCTGTTTGCTAAAACAAAAGTATCTCTTATCCAGGAAATCCTTCCTGTTTGGCGCTTGTCTGTTTCACTCAGAATCTTGACACACTTTGACCTATGCTTGCTTTACTTTTAGCAAAGCCTCACTCCCTGTAATCACATTATCCTCACAAGAACCCTTTGGCCCCGTCCAAACTAATATTTATAAAACCCTCAGCCAAAGAGCCTTAAAAGGTCAGTGATATCTTTGGGTATTGTCTTCTATCATGTACTCTGAAGGAAAATGAATTTTCAAATCAAAGAAGATGAAATTTCTTGAGTACTTGGTATAAAATTAGTAGTAAATCCTATATTATATCATTTCTCCCATCCTGTCCAGAGTCAGCACAAAGTTGTTTCAAGAACCCAGCTGCTTCCTGTTTGATTTTGATTTTGAGGATTAGGATCTTTTATTATTGATAAAAGCTGATTCCCTTGACCTACTTCTCTGACTGTTCCGGTGCTAACTTTTTCTACATGCTGATAGTCAAATTTTTATTGCTTTGCTAACATGCTGGGAATGGAGCCAAACTTTGATGCCCCAGTCAATTAAGAGAGCTGGAGAGGCCAGGGGGAAAAACCATGCAGGGCTTGTTTATTTGACTCTTACAGGATGCAAGTTTCCAGGAGGAGCCATAAAAACGTTGACACAATACACCTTCTCCACGAAGACCACAGTTCATCCAAATCCCAAATTATTTTCTATTAGCTTAAGCATATTAACAAACTATAACATTAAATTTTTCGAATTGTAAGGCAAGTGCCCTGCCTGCTGTACTCTGCCTCCGGCACATATTAATATCGTGCCTAGTATCCAAAAGAACTAGCTTACTAAAACTTTAAATCATTTGCTAATTAGCATATTTAATTATGAATACATTAGATTAAAGAAAATTATTCTATGGTATCGAACCCAGACCCGTGACTTATTCGATATGCCAAAGAAAGTAACAAGTCTCACATTGGAGACGTTACTGGGCCCGCTGGAGCAAATCGATGAACAATGGGAGGACAGTGCTACAGTGCTACATTCTATGGTATAAAACATTGTATCTTCAAAACTGTAAAGATTAAAAAAGCCCGAAGAAAACAAAAGGGCTCATGTTTTACCTAATGATATATCATGTTACTTTACAGCTGATTTATAGATAACTTTCCCTGACAATATTATTATACTTTTTTTTTCACAATAAACAATTTGATTTAAGTATCAGGTCAGCACTCCAACACACTTTATTTATATAATGTACAGTAATGGAAAATACTCAAATGAATTAAAGTTTTTCATTTTTATTTCAGGGCCCAGGATTTATAGCTGCATTGTGGGGTGTCTTCATGTTCAAGGAAATAAAGGTATGTATATTAAATGGAATGTTTAGCAAATAGGAGTATATTCAGGTAAGAAAGGGATTTACTCTTATGTTTGTGTTATTTTCTTGGATCCTGTATGTGACAGAAAACACACGATCTAGTTGATTGGTGTGATAGTCAAATTGCTATCATCCTTAAGTTAAAAAATGTAATGCCCAAGATATGGTAATTATTATGAGACATGTTTATTTTTCATCCCAGTGGAAAGATGTTTTCATTGGCTTTAATTAAATTTTGCCGTCGTGTGTGTGTGTGTGTGTGTGTGGTTCCAGATATTGAACCTCAAGACTCAGACATTCAAAATGTAGATTCTGTCACTAAGCTACATCCCCAGCCCAGCTTTAATTTTCCTTAAGAGATTTTTGTTTGGGGTCAGGGGATAGTACAAAGGTGTAAGGGCAGTTTGTCCTGCATGCAGCTGACCTGGAGTTGGTCTTCAGCACCAGGAGTTAAGTCCTAAGCTTTGCCAGGTGTGACTCACCAAAAAACAAGTAACAGCAGAATGTTTTTTAATTCAGTAGACTATGCTAAGGTAAATTTGTTTCATCTATATAAAAAATAGTCAAAGATCTTTTATTCCAGATGATAAAATATCCCTGAAGCTAATGAAATTTGAAAATAGACTTTTTTTCCCTTGGTTCTAATGTCTCCCAAAGGCCTCCATAGTAAATCTTTAGCAGCTTTAAGAAAACTATATGGTGGCAGTTTTCTTTTCAAATGTAAATTGTGCTGCATTAAACTTTTTGCATTCAACAAAAAGTTTAAGATGTACGTATATATGTGTGTTCTCAAGAGATTGTTCAGAGTTTTTCCATTTTTCTCTGAGAAAAAGATCTTCAGTCGAGGAAGATATAATGTATTTTTTAGGGCGGAGAGCCTGGCCAGCTACCGAGAGTATCTCTCCTGCAAGGCAAAGCCTGGCAAGCTACCTGTGACGTATTCGATATGCCAAACACAGTAACAACAAGTCTCACAACGGAGACGTTACTGGGCCTGCTCGAGCAAATCGATGAACAAGGACGGTGTGAGGACAGTGCTATGTATTTTCTAATTTTTATTAAAGATGATGTAAATCTTTTTAAAAATTTTTTAAATGAATCACCTCGAGGTATAGTTACAGACTTATAAACTTTAGTGCTTACGTTTCAGTCATACAATGTTTGAACCCTCCACCAGTGCCCATTCTCCACCACCAATGATCCCAGTATCCCTCCCACCACCCCCATAGAAATCTTTTATTAATACATGATTTCTATCAATAAAACAAAAATAGAAAATTTATAAGTAAGGTGAAACATGTCAATTGTACTTCTGTAAAGCCAAAAATAAAGTTTTATGTTAGAGTTTTATTCCTCACTGCTGTTTTTTGTATTTTCTGGTAATTCTAACAAGTACAGTAAAATAAAACGAAGAAATAAGCATCACTGTCACTGTCACTGTCCTCCGTTGTTCATCAATTTGCTCAAGCGGGCCCAGTAACATTGTGAGACTTGTTGTTACTATATTTGGCATATCGAATACATCACGGGTAGCTTGTCAGGCTTTGCTGATCAGGCAAGATATTCTGGGTAGCTTGCCAGGCTCTCCGAGAGGGGCAGAGGATCGAACTCGGGTCGACTAGGTCAGCCACGTGCAAGGCAAACGCCCTACCTGCTGTGCAATCGCTCCAGCCCGCATAAATATAAAAATAAAATGAGACTTAATTTTTTTTTTATTTTAGTTTTTTGGCCACAACAGGTAGTGCTAAGGATTTATTCCTGACTCTCAATCAGGGATTCTTCCTGGAGAGGCTCGAGGGTGCTATGAATCTAACCCGCGCCAGTCTCATGCAAGGCAAGGTCCCTACCCACGGGATCACTCCACCCCCGGGAATACATATTTTTAATATACATATAAAAGGTAAAGGTAAAGGCCCTCCCGTTGATCATCGATTTGCTCGAGCGGGCCCAGTAACGTCTCCATTGGAGACTTTGTTGTTACTGTGTCTGGCATATCGAATACTCTCGGTAGCTTGCCGGGCTCTCCGAGAGGGGCGGAGGAATCGAACTCGGGTCGGCCATGTTGGCCGCTTGTAAGGCGAACGCCCTACCCGCTGTGCTATCGCTCTAGCCCTAATACCTTAATATACATATAATATTTTCTATTTAAGAGAATTATCTAAAAATATTGAGATAGTCAAAATGCTTATTTAATAAGTTGATAAAGTATAGGAGGAATAAAATTAATTGCTCGCTGGTCTGCATAAATTGTCAGTATAAAAGGAGGAAAATAAATCTAATTAGAACAATAAGAATTATAACTGTCACTGTCATCACATTGTTCATCGATTTACTCAAGCAAGCACCAGTAACATCTCCATTTGTCCCAGCCTGAGATTTTAGCAACCTCTCCTTACTTTTTCCCAACCCTGCCATATTGGAGGCTCTTTCAGGGTCAGGGGAATGAGACCCCTTATTGCTACTGTTTTAGAATGTTGTTACTGTTGTTGTTACTGTTTTCAAAAGATTTTCTAACTCTAGCATATTTCTTGTTAATTACTTTTAAACTTTTATAATTCTTATTATTACTGTTATTGTTACTGTTTTAATAAGAATTATAAAAGTTTAAAAGTAATTAACAAGAAATATGCTAGAGTTAGAAAATCTTTTACCCTGCAACAGAAATTAGCTATGAGATTTAAAAATAAAAAGGATCATGGGGGAAATTCTCCATATGCTGATGAAGTCACTCTTGATCTATGAAAGTTACATTCAATGTGATTTTCATAAAATCTGTTGGATTTAATTTGGATTTTTAGAGTGAGTAGTAAATTTGGCCAAGGGTGTATATATGTTTAAAAACAAGAAAAAATAAATCCAAAATTAATCACTTAATCACTTAACTTCCCGTTAGTCGTCGATTTGCTCGAGCGGGCGCCAGTAACGTCTCCATTTGTCCCTGTCGCGTGCTAGTGTAGCCCAATGGCATCTGTTCGCTCTGGGAACATGAAGGGCCTCAAACCGATCGTTCATGATCTTGACGAAGAAGTCTGACCATCTGGTAGGTGGGCGGCCACGCGGTCTCTTGACATCCCGTGGAATCCAATCAGTAACAGCTCTAGTCCAACGGTCGTCTTTAAATCTCATTACGTGACCAGCCCATCTGATTTTCGACACCTTGGCAAATGAGACAGCGTCCCTGATCCTTGATCGTCGACGGATGTCAGAACTCCGGATTCGTTCTCTCATTTGAGTGAAACGTGATATTCCAAGCATAGCTCTTTCTATTCTTCTTTGGGAGACCTGAATAGCGTTCTCATCTTGTTTGCGTAGGGCCCAGGTCTCTGAGGCATATGTTAATGCAGGAAGAACAGTGGAATCAAAGAGATGTGCCCGGAGCCGGAGGTTCTTCGTCCTCTTAGCTATTTCTTCGACGTTCTTGAAGGCGTTCCAAGCCGCTCTCTTCCTCCTGCGCAGCTCGGGTGCCAGGTCATTTGTCATGTTGACCTCTCGACCTAGGTAGACATAGCTGTTGCATTCGGAGATGGTCGTTCCATTGAGAGCGAATGGGGCGTCAGGAACAAGGCTGTTTCTCATAAACATTGTCTTCGTAAGATTCAGCTGTAGTCCTACCTTTCCACACTCACGGTCAAAGTCGGCCAGCATTTGTGCCGCTTGGCTGATGTTTGGTGTTATTAAAACAATGTCATCAGCAAAGCGGAGGTGGTGTAGTTGCCGACCATCTATCTTCACTCCCATTCCTTCCCATTCCAGTCGTCGCATGATGTTCTCGAGGGTGGCACTGAAGAGTTTCGGTGAAATGGTATCACCCTGCCGCACCCCTCTCTTGACATCAACGATCACTTCTTTGTAGAATGGTGAGATCCTGGTAGTGAATCCGCAATACAGCTCACGGAGGATCCTGATGTATTGGGCTTGAATGCCCTGATTGGCTAGGGCTTCAATGACCGCTTCCGTCTCAACAGAATCAAAGGCCTTCTTTAAATCAATGAACGTTAAGCAGAGCGGCATCTTGAACTCCCGAGAAACCTCAATGAGCTTGGTTATCGTGTGGATATGGTCGATGGTGCTGAATCCTTTGCGGAACCCTGCTTGCTCGCATGGTTGTCCTTCATCTAATGTTCTGCCAATCCTATTCAGGATGACTCGAGTGAACAACTTGTAGATGACAGACAATAGGCAGATCGGGCGATAGTTGCCAATGTCATGGATGTCTCCCTTCTTGAACAGTAGTACGGTCCTGCTGGTTTTCCATTGGGACGGAACCTTGCATTCAGACAGGTAGCGAGTGAAGAGCCGAGCCAGTGTATTGATGAGTATTGAGGGCAGGTTCTTCAGGTGTTCAGGTCTGACCTTGTCTGGGCCGGGTGCTGTTTGTTTCTTTACCAACGAAATGGCGTGTCGGATTTCGGAGGGGAGAACTGGGAACTCTTTGGTACTATTGCGGCAACATGAGAAGATGCCATTGTTGACAACATTGACGAGGAATACGATCGACTGGTTCAGCACCTCCATGAATGTGCGAGGAACGCCAAGAGAGAGATAGCCAAAAAAAGTCGCCTGTCTTCGAAAACTCTTGAGCTAATTCGCCAGCGTGGTTTGGCGCATGCCTCAGGCAACCGCAAGCTAACGTCCGAGCTTGCAAAGCAGTGCAGAGATGCGATCAAGGAAGACCTCAAAGAGAGAAGAGCAGAAGTACTGGTAGATGCGGCAGAAGCCGGGAAAAGTATTCGTAAGGCCCGCCTGTCCTTCACCAACTATAAGAGCAAGATGACTGCCCTCCGACGTCCTGATGGATCCATCACATCCTCCAGAAAGGCAATGGAGAAGATTATCCATGACTTCTACTCAAATCTCTTCGATAGCCATGTCCACTTGCCAACATACCAAATTCCACAGGATGGGTATGTTGTTCCCAACGTTCTCCCCTCCGAAATCCGACACGCCAAAATTAATAAAGTTAAAGAGAGAAAACAAGGAAGC